TACAGAATAGTCCACCACCACAAGGATCCCTCAGTGGCCTTGTACAACTATTCCCACTTCCCTTCCTAACTCCTGTCAAACACTAATCTGTTATCTATAATATTGCCATTTAACGAGTACTACATAAATGAAATCACATAGCATATAATCTTTTGGGATTGGCTTTTTTCTCTCAGCATCATTCCCTGGAGATTCATTCAAACTATTAAATGTATCAATAGTTCATTCCTTTTTTTTTGGTTGCTGTTTTATTAACTAAAGGTCCATAGCTTACCTTAGGGTTTTCTCTTTGTGTTACAAATTCTATGGGTTTTGACAAATGCATAATGTTATGTATCCACCATTACAGTACCATTTAGAATAGTTTCACTGCCCCAAAAATCCTCTGTGCTCTTCACCTATTCATCCCTCTACCCTTCCCCTCCTCAACCACTGGGACCACTGATCTTTTCACTGTATCTATGGTTCTGCCTCTTCCAGAATGTCATATAATTGGAATCATATAGTATGCAGCCTCTTCATACTAGCTTTTAACAGCTGGCAATATGCATTTAAGGTTGTTCCATGACTTTTCACGGCTTAATAGCTTGTTTCTTTTTATCGCTAAATAATATTCCACTGCATGGATGTACCACAGTTTGTTTTTCTATCTGCCTATTGAGGGACATCTTGGTTGTTTCCAGTTTTTGGCAATAATGAATAAGGCTGCTATATCCATTCACGGGCAGGTTTTTGCGACAGAAGTTTTCAACTCATTTGGTTCAACACCTAGGAGTGTGATTGCTGGATCATATGATAAAACTACGTTTGGTTTTGTAAGAAACTAGAAATTGTCTTCCAAGGTGGCTGTACCATTTGTATCCCCACCAGCAATGAGTGAGAGTTTCTGTTTCTCTACATTCTTGCCAGCGCTTGGTATTGCCAGTTTTTTGGATTTTAGCTATTCTAATAGGTGTGCTGTGGTATCTCATTGTTTTAATTAGCAATTCCCTAGTGACAGATGACGTTGAGCATCTTTTCATATGCTTATTTGCCATCTGTATATCTTCTTTGGTGAGGAATCTGTTCAGATCTTTTACTCATTTCTTAATTGGGTTGTCTGTTCTCTTATTGTTGAGTTTTAAGAGTTCTTTGTATATTTTAGATGCAAGTCCTTTATCAGATATGTGTTTGGTAAATATTTCTCTCAGTCTCTGGCTTCTCTTTTTATTCTCTTGACAGTGTCTTTCAGAAAGCAAAAGTTTTAACTTTAATAAAGTTTATTCTTATCTGTTTTTCCTTTCACAGATCATGCTTTTGGCGTTGTATCTAAAAACTCATCGCCAAATGACTATAGTAACATTTGTAAAAGGCAATTGACTTTAGTCTGGTGCCATATATCTATAAAGTCCATATATATATATATGGGGTCAAATGTATATATTGCCATTTGTCCCTCAAATGGATGACTGCAAGAGAGAACCAAGGTCAACAGACATTTTGCCTACTATTTTTGGATGATATTCAGAGTGGGACATTCCAGCTCACAACAATGAAACCAGTCAACCAGACAGACAAGATTTCAGAGTTAGAGCTTGCTCTAGTTCAAGAGTGTGTAAAACCAGATTAACAGTGCATACTCTTAGCCCAATCCAGGCATAGCAAAAATCACATTCCATTATAAAGAATTACTTTATAATCTTAGTATAAAGCAAACCCTCTAAAATCCTCAGAAAACTAGCAGACCGAATACCAGTCAAATCTCATTATCCCCACACCAAAAGAGTATGCATTTCTTGAGTTGTTTTATTATAGTATTGAATATATTTGAAGTAAATAGGCTATATTCCTAGGATATGGGAATATTCTTTCTCAATGAGATTCTTCTCATTTTTATTTTAATGAGATTTTTTTGTCATGTAATTATAGTACAAAATGTAAGATAAGAACATCTTTTGGACCACTTTTATATGCATGTATGTGTGTGTGTGTGTGGGGGGTTCACTGAAAACATCTGTTTTGTAACTGAGGTCAATTCTGACTTGAGTCAGTGAACTCATTCACCAACAAGAAGATAGAGCTGCTAAAGAAGGAGCAGTAGTTTAAGATAGAAAGCTAGCAACATCCACAGAGACAATCTGACCAACACTGAGAACCATTACTAAACGGCAGGCATGCTGGGAAATGCAGAGACATAGAGTGAATTAAGGCATTGTCCTTGTTCTCAAGAGGCTTAAGGCTCTTTTCTAGGAGGACAATAGAAAATATCTAAACCACTTGTTATTCTTTTGTGAAGGAGAGAAGAGTCACCAAATAAGGCCTATACTGTGAGGTCACCAATCTTTGAACTCTAGACATTGGAGGTTGGAAGGTTTTTAAATATTATATCATCCAATGCCCAGATTTTATTGACAAACAGAAACCCAGAAAAGTAGAAAAATATATCTAAGATTGCAGGGTTGAACTAGGACCCAAATTTCCTGACTTCTCTAATCAAGTGCTCTTTCCTCTACATTACACAATCTCTCTTAGAGTTCAAGGGACTTTTCTCATTCCTAATTCTTCCCAAAGTTGGGCTGCATCTAATTATGTAAATTATACTCAGATTCATAGAGGTCATGCTGTTTTCCCTTTATACTGTCATCTTCAAAAAGTCCACTTCACAGTTTCAATTTAACAGATGAGTTTTTTAAATATTAAGGACTTACTTTGGCCTAGGTGGTAGACAGACTACCAACGCAAGTAGGGCATACTTCCTAGCTCTGAGGAATTTATCATAAATGTAAACATCTAGTACAGTATTCTTACACACCCAAGTTATACATGTGAAACTCATCATCACCACCCAATCAGGTTTCCTAATGGAAATCTCCTTTTAGGTCAATGACTTCTTAATTCTCTAGGCCCCATGGCAAAATCTTGAATCTGTTTTTGCTACTCTGGCATGAAAGTGAGAGTATCTGGTTTTTGGTTTTTTTTTTCTTCATTTTGTGAGGAAGATTAGCCCTGAGCTAACATTCAATGCCAATCCTCCTTTTTTTTGCTGAGGAAGATTGGCCCTGGGCTAACATCCATGCCCATCTTTCTCTACTTTATATGGGATGCCACCACAGCACGGCTTGACAAGCTGTGCATCGGCGCCCGCCCAGGATCCGAACCTGCGAAATCCGGCCTGCCGCAGTGGAGCGCGCGCACTTAACTGCTATGCCACCGGGCCGGCCCCAAGAGAGAGTATCTGGTTTTTAATCCTTGTCCTACCATCAACCAATTAGTTTTGAAATCCTGGGCAAGTCGTACCTCTCTGGGCTCACCCTTCTCAATTAGTAAAATGAGGAGAGCACCAATCGGCTATGATTCACCTTCTTTCCAAATCCAAGGTGATAGGCATAATCAATATATTTTCTTTCTTTTTTTTATTTTGCATATCTCTCGGATTTATCTCTCTTCCTCCATGTTCATCATAACCAAGCCCTTCATTCCTGGATTACTACTAAGCAGGCTTCAAGCTCTTCAGTATAGATGTAACTTGTTAAAAGCAACATTAAGCAAGATTTAGCCTAGAGGTATATAGGTTACACTGGAGGCTAGAAAATGAATTAAGAAGCCTATGAAAATAAAGATCAATCTCACACCCAAAACCTGTCATTCAAGTCCCTCAAAAGCTGGCTTCAGTTGGCCTTCCCGTTTTTATGTCACATGACTCCTCAACACCGGCCTTTCTGACCACACCTTCACGTCCTAATGCTGTTGTTTCCATCCTTCCTATGAGGAAACTTTTACCTTTTCATAAACGTAATTCCAATAGTTTCTTTAAGACCAATTGCTTCCATGGAGTCAGTAATCTTTCCTTTCTCTTAATTCTTATACAAATATTTAGAGTACCAACAATAATCCTCTTTCCTAACTCCCTCTAATGAATATTGTTAGCATAAAAGGGATGATATATAAAAACTCTCAATCAACATTAATGGAAGAAGGCATATAAAGGTGATGTAAAGAGTATAACTTATTTTCTTTATTATTTCTTCTTCTTTCCTTTGCAAATTAAAATAAGCAACCAGTTGGGGCTGGCCTTGTGGTCTAGTGGTAAAGTTTGGTGTGCTCTGCTTCAGTGGCCTAGGTTTGGATCCTGGGCACGGACCTACATCACTTGTTAGTGGCCATGCTGTAGTGGCAACCCACATACAAAATAGAGGAAGATTAGCACAGATGTTAGCTCAGGGTGAATCTTCCTCAGTGGAAAAAAAAAAAAAAGCAACTGTTTGTTGATCCTTTTGGTAGAGGATTAATATGTATTTTTAAATTGTTTTAGAATATTTAAATAGGAAGAATATTAAAATATATTTCCCTGGCTCTAGCAACTTCTGATATATGAAAGACATCTGGACAAATGTATATGAACTGTTACCAATTAATATATGTTTAATTTAGGGATCTATTCAAACAAGCAGTGAGTAATGTTATATAAATGCTGGCAGGGTAACTTACTCCACTAATAGATAAGCTCCGAAGACTCTATACATATTTCGGTCATGAAACAATCAGTGCCAGTCTGACCAAATGATTGTCATTGTTAGTCTTAATAAGACTAGAGAAACATTTGCAGAAAACTTAAAGTTTTATTTTCTCTTTCAGATTCTCTTATTGCTAACCCTAATTTGAATACCTCCTTCAGAGAGAGGCCACAATTAGAGGAGTAAAAGGATTTCATGTGGCAAGAACAAACAGTGTTGTCACATCCCATCAACCCTCTCGGCACCCACTCTCCGAGAACATTCACTGCATTCTCCTGTGCTCCAGAAGAGATTTTTCCAAGACATGAATTTCAAGCAATTTTAGTTCCCATCACTACTGTCTGTTTGTCATAACTGAAAAAAATATCCATTATATTACAAAAAGATTCGTTATCCAGTATTTGTTAATTACGATTGAGACCAGAAACATACAAAGTTTCAAAGAAAACAATTGAGGAGAACATCTGAAAGTAATTTTCCCCCATTCCTTGTTGTTCTGCTACTCACGGCAAGTCTTCCAAACTGGAGGCTTCATGTCTTGGATCCAACAGATCATAACCACATTCATTGTAGATTTCCAAATAGGAAATGTGTGTTGTATATATTTTGCCGCTGTCCTGATTGGAAAAGGGAAAGATATTATTTAATGGCTATAAATAACAATTCAGCTTAGAGGAAGATGAACACATTTATCACTGTAGTTTCCTCTCAGTTTCTCTCCTTTTCTTCTCTCTCACTTTGTATGGTTTACATTTTCAGTTCGTGACACTTTCAAGTTGCCAGTTACCATATGCATGAAGCTTTTTTTTTTTAATGGCCAACACCCATGATTACAAGCAACTTCAGTCTGTTATTTTTTATTGTTCCACGTTATATATAAAAAGTCAATATACACTTAAATGAGCCAACTTGGTTGCAGAACTGTATAACACACCATTTTTTACTTTCCAGACCAAAAAAAAAAGGCTACTAGGAAAAAACAAACTTACATTCTGTGAACAATCTATTCATAAAAGAACACAGCATTGTTACTTTGGTTTAAAAACTCCAGTAGCAAAAGAACTTCCATCTTTAATCATATTTTTCACTTTTCTAATATTTGAATTTTCTGATGACATACATGGATAACAGACACTAAATAGATAAAGGAAAGTAAATTCCAGAGGACAAAATAGTTTAGATCGATCAGGTAACAGTAAGAGTGGACATTAGCAGTTCACTGCCTATGCCTTGTCTGTTGGGTTAATTTTCTTGGGGCCACTAGCAAATCAGGGATATTCAGTTAAAGATGAGAGGAAGGCATTTTCTGCAGGTCAGTGCTGAAATGACACAGGCACCAATGAAATTAGGATAAAAGTCAAGGTAATTGGTCCTAGTCTCAGTTCTGCCTTCAGACAAAAAGGACCCACTCCCTCTGGGATGGAATAAAACAGGGAATTTTTTCAGTGCTTGAGAAAATTCCAAGTTCAGTTTTCAATACAAATATCAAATAACAGCACCTTATTCCTCTTTCTCCCAAAATACAAATGTTTCCATTTCTGCAAATATTATCCTGCTTCTCATCAGAGGAGAATATATTTGCGTTTTGTGGCAAGAAGTTCAGCAGGTTTTCAGAGTGGATACTCACAGATGACCTTCCTGACCAATTCTCACCCATATCTAAGACAATTCATTTAACAGGTGTTATTCAGAGGGAGACAGGACCAAGACATAGAAAGGAGGAGAGAATGCAGATCTGCAAAGCCAAAGCTGGAATCCTAGTCCTACTAGCTAGGAGCCCATACCATGTGAGGCCTCAGTTTCCACACCCATTAAAGTGGGGAAGTTGGAGAATGAATCCCTATGTGTTCTTCAGATTAAAATTAATATGATTCTCTAAAATGGCTCAAACTATTCAAATAAAGACAGTACCATTTCACAAAAACAAAACAGTACATGAAAAATTAAGGCAACTCTCAGCCAGCACACAACTATAGCAAAACACTCAAGCCACAGCTGAAATTCCACATTCTGATATTCTATGGTGACAGCATGGAGGGAATCTCTACTAAGCAAATTTCTCCCAAACAAATGCTGGAAATCCTGCTGATGTGAGTGACTCTGGCTGCTCATCATGACAAGTGGTCTATCAATTTCATTAGCATCCTAGTTTAGTAAAGGCATCATTTCAACATAATTCTTTGGGTTGCAGCTTGGCTTACTGCAGGTGTCAGAGACTATAAATACTAGACAGACTCTGTGTGGCCTTTAGTCTAATCCAGTGTTTCCTAAAATATTCCATGAAATACTCATGGGGAAAAAGCATTCCACGGTCAACATATATACTGTTCTTCTCTGGAAGATTCTCAGAGCACGTTAAAGGTTATGAGGGATCATTTAGAAACACCCTGAGGTCCTGTTTAAAACAACATATTCCTAAAACTTATCTGAACATATCTGAAACATCCCATAGATTATGGTTCATGATTTTAGCATACAGTTCTGAGCTCATCTTAGCATTGGACAAAACTGGGTTTGAATACTGGATCTGCCATTTAAACTGAGTGATCCTCCACCCTTATCCTCAGTTCTTTAACTATGAAAATGGGGATAATTACTCTTATCTTGCAAAACTGTTGTGACAGAGAAATAAGGTTCTGTATTTAAAATCCTACCACAATGTATGGCTCATAACAGACACCAATAAATCATTGCCACTGCTGTTATTATTGCTGTTTTTATTGTTTTTATTATTATTTCTAAAAGCCTCCCAATGGAGAATTCAGTATATGAATATAAAAGGAAAGAAAAAGAAAAGCAAAAAAACCAAGCCAATTTCTATATTTGTCTGCAGTACAGAAATTAGAAGAAATCATAAAAAGTCAGGAAAATGGCAGGCCCACTGCCCTGAGATGATAGGGATAATGCCTTTGGCTCCTCTAGCTTCTGCGTTTTCTGGGCTTTTATTGGAATACACACTTAAAATTCACTGGGCTATGTGGCAAGCTACCTTTCCTTATTACTCCTTCTTTAGTGTTTAGGATTGCCAGACTATAATATAACACACATGTTTCCTGCAGACAGCCTTTTCTCCTGCCCCAAAACAAGTTTGAACTTCACAATAATGAGCAGTGATTTCTAAAATAAATGGAATCAATTTTCTTCTTTTAAAATCATTGAAAATGTGCTCCTATCACACTCACCGGCATTCTGGGACCCAGTATGCACTGGGCTCTTAGTTTATCTTGAAATAAATACTTTGCATAAGTCAAATGTTTCCTTTAAGAATTCTGGAGAGCTCCATATGGCCCTTTAAAGCAATCAGCTGGGGGCATCTGAGTACGTCTGCATTTTCCATCTATACAATGTGGACAAACTTTATGATGAACTTCAAGTTGCCTCTGACTTGCTGCACAGCAGTTCAGTTTGATTATATGAATGTGTTGTGCCCCATCGTACAAATCTGCCCATTTTCGAAGAATTGTCCTGGCTACAAAGTGGTCCTACGGTCTCTCTCCAAGTCAGGAAGGTATTTAGAATCATTCAGAATGAAATGGGGTTTAGAGTAATGTCATTGACAAACACATATAAAACAATGAACTCAAAAGATGGTAGGTACTTGGGATATATTTAGACATTTAGAACTGTATTTTGCTAACTGTATTTGGTAAATAAAATTTAGACGAAATTTTAAGAGGGACAAATATATTTTATATTAGGAAAGGATTTGTTTATTCTGTTTAACTTAATCAGGAGAATTGGCTTTACTTATCTTGAGTTTCAAAGAGTTCTTTGAAATTGGCCAGAAATCACTTGGCCATGTGCATATATATATGTGGATAGCAATGGCTGTGGCACTGTCATGTATTGAGCATCTACTATGTGCCAGGAACTGGACAATGTCTTTGAATGCAGTTTGTTCAGCTTTCACAGGAATGCCACAGGCCTGAGACATTAAGTCACTCCCCAAGGCCACATGTTGGAAGTAGTACACTTTCTCAGCGCCAGGTTGGCCTGCACCAACCTCAGAGATCTTTCCAAGACAACAAGGTTCCATATTAGCCCACAGCAACAAAAACTATTCAAAATTATATTCCCAGTTTGTGAAATCTGGGGAAAAACAAAACAGCTAATGTCAGAAATAAATGCGTATATGAAAAGAAGGAATTTGGATCCAACATATACACTATACTCAACCCTTTCTCGTCCAAATTTTCTGGCATGCAGAGATGGCATGCTTGAGCTAATGAGAGATGAGCTGAACTAAGGGGTAATTGCTACTTTGTGGATGGAAATGAGAATTATGCAGATCTCAGCAATTTCTTCTCATCTTTGCATCTCAAAATGCAAACAGCATACAGTCGAGAAATTTTGGAATGACTGGTACACCGACCTGTTTAGGAAATTTGTTATACAGAATTAATACAACCACAGAATTGCTGGAACTAGTAGGAACGCTGGAGATCCTCTGGTACAATTCAATTCCTACCTTCACAGAGGGGAGAAATGAAACTCAGAGAAGTTAAGTGACTCATCGAACAGAATTTGTTTAAATAACAACCAACAAAATAAAGCCATTCTGAGATACAGAGGTGGTGTATGTAGAGGTAAAAAGCACAGAGTTTGGCATCACACAGACCTGGGATAGACCTCCAGATCAGCTGTTTATAAGGACCCAGAGAAAGATATTTAATTCAAGACTCAGTGTTCCCAACTATAAAATGCGGATAAGGATCCCTACCTTGTTAGCTATATTACATGTTGTATTAAATACTGATAAAACAACAGGCTCTTGGAGCTACACGATAAATGATGCATATAATATAGATAGGGAACTCTTCTTTATAATAATATTAATTGCATGGGATTTTACTCTGGTAAATTCCTCTGGGCTTCTATTAAAAATGTGAAAAAGGTATAGTCACATTATCCTATTCAGTACTTTAGTAGCTAAAGTAAAGGTCCGTTTTGGCAAAAGGATATTCTTTGGTTTCTTAATGAGAAATATAAGATATTAGTTGGCAAAATGTACCATCTGTTATTTTAACCTCCATGAGTGTATTAGAAGGACTCCCTCTGAGCATTTGCTGAAACAGCATCACTTTAATGAGAAGCACCTTCTTAATTTCCACTTCTTCAGCAAAATTCCAAACTTTCCTTAAATGTAAAGGCCATAGTTATTATACAATAGTACTTCCTCATTTAGATACAATATAATAAAATGTCACAATAAATTCTCCACCCGCAGTAAATTTCTGCTGAATATATCGAATATAAAATGAACTTGAAGTTTCATACCTTTTGTAGTTGCTCAAAAATGTACGACAGTGTCCTTGGGATAATGCCTCTGTCACTGTAGCGCTCTGCACCACCCGTGATGGTGAACGTCTTACCGCTGCCTGTCTGCCCATATGCAAAGATGGTGCCATTGTAACCTGCCAGGACACTACACAAAGAAATGGCACACTTTCAGTATCAACATGGCTGATTGCATTTGTATTAAGCGACTCATATTCTAATAGCAATCTGATTCAACATCATTTGAAAAGACATTTATAGAAATATCTATAGAAATATTTATACATGTGACTATCTAGCTGGAAATTACTTTTTTATCCAGGAGTATCAGCACATCGATCATTTTCTCTAAGAAAGAATCCATAATTCAAATGGATTTAAATATTTTTTTATTTGAATAAAATTTTTACTTTAGTTTTATATCTACAGAAAAGTTGTAAAAATAGTCTGGAGAGTTCACACATACCCCACATCTAGTCTCCCCTATGGTTAATATTTTATATTAGTATTGTACATTTGTCACAACTAATGAACCAATATTCATATATTATTACAAACTTTATTGAAATTTCCTTGGTTTTTACCTAATGTCTTTTCCTTTTTTTTCCAAGCTTTACTGAGATATAATTGACATATAACATATGTAAGTTTAAGGGGTACAATGTGATGATTTGATACATGTATATATTGTGAAATGATTACCACAATAGGCTAGTAAACACATCCATCACCTCACAGAATTACCTTTTTTTGTGGTGATAATATCTAAGTCTTACTCTCTTAACTTTCAAATATATGGTACAGTATTGTTAACTACAGTCACCACGCTGTACATTAGATCTCCAGAACTTAGTCATCTTATACCTGGTGGTTTATACTCTTTGACCCACATCTCCCCATTTCCCCCACACTCTAGCCCCAGGCAACCACTCTATTTCCATGAGTTTGTTTTTTTAGGTTCCACATGTAAGTGAGAACATACAATATTTGTCTTTCTCTGTCTGACTTATTTAACTTAGCATAATGCTCTCAAAGTCCATCCAGGTTGTTGCAAAAGGTAGGATTCCCTTCTTCTCTACGGCTGAATAATATTCCATTGTATATATATATACCACATCTTTACCATTCATCCATCGATGGACACAGGTTTTTCCTTGCCTTAGCGATTGTAAATAGTACTGCAATGAACATGCAGGTGCAGATATCTCTTTGAGAGAGTGACTTCATTCCCTTCGGATATATATACCCAGAAGTGGGATTGCTTGATCACATGGTACTTCTATTTTTAATTTTTTGAGCTACCTCCATACTGCTTCCCATAGTAACTGCACCAATTTACATTCACCAACAGTGCACGAGGGTTCTCTTTTCTTCACATCTTTGACAATACCTGTTGTCCCTCACCTTTTTGATAATAGCCATCCTAACAGGCATGAGGAGATACTTTACTGTGGTTTTGATTTGCATTTCCCTTATGATTAGAGATGTTCAACACCTTTTCATGTGTTGGTGAATGTATGTTTTCTTTGGAAAATTTTCTATTCAAGTTCTCTGCCCATTTTTTATTCAAATTGTTTTTTTGCTATCGACTTGTATGAGTTGCTTATATATTTCAGATATTCTCTTATCAGATGGACGGATTGCAAATATTTTCTCCCATTCCATAGGTAATCTTTGCACTTTGTTGATTGCTTCCTTTGTCGTACAGAAGATTTTTAGTTTAATGTAGTCACATTTGTTGATTTTTTATTTTGTTGCTTGTGCTTTTGGTGTCAGATCCAAAAAATCATTACTAAGACCAATGTCAAGGAGCTTTTAACCTATGTTTTCTTCTAGGAGTTTTACCGTTTCAGGTCTTAAATTCAAGTCGCTAATCCACTTCAAGTTAATTTTTGTGAGTGGTGTAAGACACGGGTCCAAATTCATTCTTTTGCATGTGTATCCAGTTTTCCCAACATCATTTATTGAAGAGATTATCCTTTCCCCATTGAATATTCTTGGCTTACTTGTCAAATATTAGTTGACCGTATATGTGTGGGTTTATTTCTGGGCTCTTGATTCTGTTCCATTAGTCTATGTGTCTGTTTTGTTTGTTTATTTGTTTGTTTGTTTTTATCTTGTATCTTTTGCTTTAAGCCCGTATAAATCTTTTTTGGAGAAAAGTTGGACTTAAAAAAAAAATTTTATTGAGGTATAATTGACATATAACGTTATACTGGTTCAAGTGTACAACATAACAATTCGATGTTTGTATACATTGCAAGATGATTACCACAATAAGTCTAGTTACTATCTGTTACCATACAAAGTTAACTTTTAGGATTTACTCTCTTAGCAACTTTCAATTATGCTCTTCAATATTATTGATTATTGTCACCATGCTGTACATTACATCCCCTTGATTTATTTATTTTAAAACTGGAAGTTTGTACCTCTTAACTCCCCTCATACATTTCACCCACTCCATAACACACCTTGCCTCTGGCAACCACCTTTCTGTTCTCTGTAGCCATGATTTTTATTTTGCTTTGTGTGTTCATTTGTTTTGTTTTTTTAGATTCCAAATATAGTGAAATCATATGGTATTTGTCTTTCTCTGTCTCACTTATTTTTCTTAGCATAATTTCCTCAAGGTCTCTCCATGCTGTCACAAATGGCAAGATTTCATTCTTTTTTATGGCTGAGTAGTATTCCACTGCATATATATATAAACACACCAAGGCTTCTGTAATCTATTCCTCCACCGATGGACACTTAGGTTGTTTCCATATCTTGGCTGTTGTAAATAAGGCTATAATGAACATACAGGTGCATACATCTTTTTAAATTAGTGTTTTTGTTTTCTTGAGGTAAATACCTAGGAGTAGAACTGCTAGATCATATGGTAGTTCTATTTTTAGGTTTTTTGAGGAACATCCATACTGTTTTCCATAGTAGCTGCACAAATTTACATTCCCTCCATCAGTGCACCAAGGTCCCCTTTTTTCAACATCCTCACTAACACTTGTTATTTCTTGTCTTTTTGATGATAGCCATTCCAACAGGTATGAGATATCATCTCATTGTGGTTTTGATTTGTATTTCCCTGATGATTAGTGACGTTGACCGCTTTTTCACGTGCCTGTTGGCCATCTGTACATCTTCTCTGGAAAACTGTCTATTCAGATCCTCTGCTCAGTTTTTATTTAGACTGTTTTTTTGCTATTAAGTTTTATGAGTCCTTTATATATTCTGGATATTAACCTCTTATCAGATATATGATTTGCAAATAGTTTCGCCTATTCAGTAGGTTGTCTTTTCATTATGTTAATGGTTTCCCTTGCTGTGCAGAAGCTTTTAGTTTGATGTAGTCTCACTTGTTTATTTTTGCTTTTAGAGTCACATCTAAAAATTCACCACCAAGTCTGATGTCAAGTAGCTTACCACCTATGTTTTCTTCTGGATGTTTTACGGTTTCAAGTCTTACATTCAAGTCTTTAATCTATTTTGAGTTAACTTTTGTGTATACTATAAGAGAGTGGTCTAGTTTCATTCTTTAGCATGTGGCTGCCCAGTTATCCCAACAACATTTATTAAAGAGACTGTTCTTTCCCCATTGCATACACTTGCCTCCTTTGTTATAAATTAATTGACCATATACGTGTGGGTTTATTTCTGGGTTCTCTGTTCTGTACCATTGTTCTATGTGTCTGTTTTTATGCCAAAACCATATTGTCTTGATTAGCATAGCCTGGTAATATAGTTTGAAATCAGGGAGCGCGATGTTTCCAGATTTGTTCTTCTTTCTCAGTATTGCTTTGGCTATTTTGGTCTTTTGTGGTTCCATATACATTTTAGGATACTTTGCTCTATTTCTGTGAAAATGTCATTGGAATTTTGATAGAGATTGCATTGAATCTGTATATTGCTTTAGGTAATATAGACCTTTTAACAATATTAATTCTGCCAATCCATGAACACTGAATATCTTTCCATTTCTTTGTATCTTCTTCAATTTCTTTCATCAATGACTTATAGTTTTCAGTGTACAGATCTTTCATCCCCTGGGTTAAATTTATTCCTTGGTATTTTATTCTTTTTTATGCAATTGTAAATGGGGTGGTTTTCTTAATTTCTCTTTCTAATAGTTCATTGTTAGTGTATAGAAATGCAACTGATTTTTGTATATTGTTTTTGTACCCTGCAACTTCCCTGAATTCATTTATGAGTTCTAATAGATTTTTGGTGGAGTCTTTAGGGTTTTCTATAGATATACACTCATGTCATCCACAAATAGTGACAATTTTACTTCCTCCTTTCCAATTTAGATGCCTTTTATTTCCTTTTCTTGTGTAATTGCTCTGACAAAAATTTCCAATACTATGTTGAGTAAAAGTGGAGAGAGTGGGAATCCTTGTCTTGTTCCTGATCCTAGAGGAAAAGCTTTCAGCTTTTCACAATTGAGTATGATGTTAGCTGTGGGCTTGTAATATATGGCCTTTATTATGTTAAGGCATGTTCCTTCCAAACCCACTTTGTTAAGAGTTTTTATCATAAATTGATGCTGAATATTGTCAAGTGCTTTTTCTGCATCTTTTGAGATGATCATATGATTTTTATCCTTCATTTTATTAATGTGGTGTATCACATTGATTGATTTGTGGATTTTGAACCATCCTTGCATCCCTGGAATAAATCCCACTTGATCATGGTGTATGATCCTTTGTACAGTTGAACTTGGTTTGCTAATATTTTGTTGAGGATTTTTGCATCTATGATCATCAGGGATATTGGACTATAATTTTCTTTCTTTGTGATGTCCTTCTCTGGTTTTGGTATCAGGGTAATGCTGGCCTCATAAAATGAGTTCGGAAGCATTCCTGATTCTTCAATTTTTTGGACAAGTTTGAGAAAGATAGGTATTAAATCTTTTAATGTTTCATAGAATTCACCAGTGAAGCCATCTGGTCCTGGACTTTTGTTTTTTGGGAGGTTTCTGATTCCTGATTCAATCTCCTCACTAATAATTGGTCCATTCAGATTTTCTATTTCTTCATGATTCAGTCTTAGAAGATTGTATGATTCTAAGAATTTACCCATTTCTTCTATATTGTCTAATTTGTTGGTGTATAATTGTTCATAGTGGTCTTTTATGATCCTTTGTATTTC